TTTTCATTCACCTTGTTTATCCATTCTCTAGCATGTCCTTCTCCTACTAGCATGTGGATAAGCTGGCATATTTTCAAAAAATAAGTACTCACTAGATATGCACTTTACGTCCCATAGGGAAGGGGGAAAAAGCCTGTAAGAGAGGAGGCACAAATAGAGCCTGAACCTCAACCAAGGTAGGAGATTCTGATCCAGGAGGACTTGCCACAATGATCCGGGACCACTGGGAAGACAACAGAGTGCAGTGGACTCTTTTTGGTACCTTACTCAAATCCACGAAGGCACTGAAAGGAGAGGTAAGTCACTCTGAATCCCACTTTTTGACACCATGTAATGTCAAATAATTTTGACCAAGAACTGCAAAGCAAACAGAAGCTTTACTTGGAGTCTTTAGAAATTGCAATTCTGGACACACAGATTTGGGTAGAAACCCAATTGTGTTCCAAGGGGGAAAGAAAGAGAGTTTATAAACACTGAAAAAGGGGCTTCAAAGGGATTACACAAGTTGTTTTGAAAGAGCTGTGACTGGTATTGGCAAGCGAACTTATACTGTGCTATGCATAATTGATTGCTGATGTCTTTCCTTAAATGAAAATTTTATTTCTTAATAGGGAGTTCAGTGATACAGAGCCAGTTCCAGAAACTGTAGCAGGATGTAGCCATTTGTGGTTTAGCCCACTTCAAAAATTCCACTTCATATGGAGAGGTTGTGTGAGTTCAGCTTCCCGGAAGCCTCTGGCTCCATTTTAGATTGCTCTCTTGACAGTATCAACCCCATTTTGCTGTTTTTCTTTCACAGTGCCATGTTAACAAAGACCTTCTCCCTCCAGGGACTATAAAAGATTCTGAAACTATTTCAAAAAGAGCTATCCAAAGATGTGTGCAACTTTGCAACAAAAGTTAGATCTAGTTTCATGAGCAGGACTCTTGCAAGGATGGGGAATAGTGGAGGGCACCAAGGAAAATCATACTTTTGTTTTTTCTCTCTCATTCATCCCCTTAGCCCATTTCTATTCAGGTGAAATTAAGTTTAAATGAATATTAAAGATTGCCATAAAAAATGTAAGTCAGTGAAATATAGATGAAAGAAATAGAACAAAATGGGGATGGTGGCGAAGAGAGGAATCTCACCAGTTTTCTGCAGTGTTATAATGTTTCATCTGAGAGCCACACATAAGTTATATATCCCACAGAACCATCAACGTTAAGAACTTGGATGTTATTCTACCTCCATAGAGAAGTAGACTACAACAGGAAAATGTCTTTGTTCAAATGCAAGCTAACACAAAGAAAATAAAGCATTAAAAGTACATCAGGTTGGTGCAGAAGAAACACTAAGACACACTGAAGCAGTTACAATGTGAAGTCCCAGTCGTATGCTGCAGTGCTAAATCACAGTTTGCTTCCTTTTGATCACAGGCTTGGGGCTGAATGTGTGGTAAAGACATCAATTTGTACAGTAGTGCTCCATTATCTGAAGTTTCACTTGCCATAGTTGCAGGTACCCGTGGTCTACCATGGTCCAAAAATATTAAATGGAAAATTCCAGAAATAAAGAATTCATAAGTTTTAAGTTGTGCACTGTCCTGAGTAGCATGATGAAACCTTGCACTGTCCTACTCCATCCTGCCTGGGATGTGAATCATCCCTTTGTTGAGCATATCCACACTGTATACACTACCTGCCCGTTAGTTACTTGGTAGCCACCACAGTGATCAAAATGACTGCCATGGTGTTGCAGTGCTTATGTTCAAGTCACCCTTATTTTACTTATAATGGCCCCAAAGCCCAAGAGTAGTGATGCTGGCCAATCAGATATGCCAAAGAGAAACCATAAAGTGCTCCCTTTATGTGAAAAGGTGTATACATATTAGTATATGACAAAACATGGTATATATAAGGTTCAGTACTATCCACAGTTTCAGGCATCCACTGCGAATCTTGGAATGTATCCCCCACAGATAGGGGGGACTACTGTAGTTCTAGTCTCTGTAGACAGTGATAATGGTTACAACCCCAGAGACTCTCACTTACTGCCCCACCCCCCCCCCCACACACACACACAAGGGACTTCGGAAAACTGTTGTCTTAGGGATGGAAGGTAGGAGAGGGGAACTTTTTTTTTTCCAGTATCTTTCCTGTTTTGATTCTTATCTGCCTTCTCTCTTCTCCTCTTTCTCTTTCCTTCTCTAATTAAAATAATAATAATAAAGTTCTCTTTTTTGTTTAAATATATTTTTATTGATTTGAGAGAGGGAGAGAGAGATAGAAACATCAATGATGAGAGAGAATCATTGATTGGCTGCCTCCTGCATGCCCCATACCAGGGATCAGGCCCATGGTTCATAGGCTGATGCTCAACCACTGAGCCATGCCGGCTGGGCAAAGTAAAGTTCTCTTAAAAACACCACCCTCCCCCGCTACACACACACACACACACACACACACACACACACACACACCTGAGGCTCAATGTCAGAAAGAGTGGCAAAGCTAGAATTTTAATTCAGGTTGGAGACACTTACTATATTTATTACCTTAAAGAAGCCAATTTTAGCTTAGTTGTAGGGAGGGGAGTAAGTATAAATTAGTAGGAGTGAGGTATCCAGAAAAGAAATGTGAGTTTAGAAGAGTGATCTTTAACTGCTGGTTGTTATCCATGAATGGACAAAATCAATTTAGTAGGCTGTGGTCAACATTTTTTAAAGGAAATAAGACATAACAGAATAAAATAGAGAATATCCAAGTATAATGCACAGAGTACATTGAGTCCTCACTTAATGTCATTGATAGGTCCTGTGACTCTAAGCCAAATGACATATACTGAAATCAATTTTATAGGCTAATTGATATAAACAAGAGTTAAGTTCTTATGGCATCTCATCAACATTATAACAAAACTAGAGGCCCGGTGCACAAAAATTTGTGCACTAGGGGGGAGAGGGGGTCCCTCAGCCCAGCCTGTGCCCTCTCACAGTCTGGGACCCCTCGGGAGATAACGACCTGCTGGCTTAGGCCTGCTCCCGGGTGGCAGAGGGCACACCCAATCCCTAGGTGCAGCCCCTGGTCAGGCTCAGAGCAGGGCTGATTGGGGAGTTGGGGCGCCGCCCCCTGTCATGCACAGAGCAGGGCAGATCGGGAGGTTGCGATGCCACCCTCAGTCACGCTCAGGGTAGGGCCGATTGGGGGGTTGGGGCACCG